TGTTGGTTTCTATAGTGTCTTCGCAGATTGTGATGAGCCGTTTGTCATCTCTGGCGATAGAACAATGGCCTTTTACTGGAAAGGCAATATGCTGTCTACCAAGGCCGCGCCTGTACCCCCGGAACATACTACAAGAGACACCATCTTCATGCTCGAATACCGGCAGGCAAACCCGGCTTCTCCTTCGTATAATCCGTCAAAGCTCCCAAACTTACCCACTCTATGTCAGTTCCTAGCAACCAGTCTTACGTTTGTAGGCCTTGAAAGCATTGAACTCCATGTCGACGATTATGTGGTTGCTTCCTTCACGAAGAAGATCTCTTCCCCTGAAATTGTTCGCGTACCACAGGGTTTGAAGACTGAGACCGAAGGAGGGCTGATGAAGGTAACTGATGTCACACGACAGCACTCCCAACTCGATGCTGCTTGGATGAACGTGATTGCGACTGCTCAACTGCCGCCCAAGAAAGCAGCCGACCTTGTACAACAGGAGGTGCGCAACGCAGGCTCAACCTTGCGAAGTTTCTTTTCCAAGTTTTCGGCCCCACCGCCAGCAGCCACCAAGACCGTTAAGCCTACAATTGAGAAGCCGAGTGAAAGTGAAGAAATAGCCGGGGACTCAAAGGGAACAATCTTCTTGCAAGTATGCACAGTAGTGGCAGCTACCAAAGTATCACGAAATTTTGCGGCAGAGATTGAAAGAGCAACGAAAAAGTCTCCGCCCAAGACCACGAAGATTGCTCTCTTGACATCTCCTTACCAGGATCCTTCAGCTACCCTAACAACAGGCTCAGGAAGCTCTGCTTCGCTTGCTACCAAGATTTTTTCGGAGGTTCTTCCAACAAAGTCGGGGCGTATATTCATTGGATTTCCCACAGCACAAACAACAGGATATCTTGCTCATATCTCCGCGCCATCCCTCATCCCGACGGTAGAGCGTGAGAATGTGGACATGAACGCTAGATATATATCCACCTGGAATATCGAGCTTTTGCGCGTTGCTGGATTGGCATGCCGTATCACATACGCAGATGAAATGGCAACCTTGCAAGCCCAATTTGGCAAGGAGCCTTTGGAGGCACTGGTCACCAGAACAGCCTACATATTTCGTCAATACACCGCGAAATCATCACATCCTTCTACGGCTCTTGGTGATAAGATTGACGAAGCTTTCTACAACTGCTCAAAGGAACGTTCGATTGATATCCTGTCGACCAAGGGCGTTCTGCCAAGCAAAAGAGTACGCATGCCTGCAGAAACCCTCAGCTTCCTTGGAGAAGTGCCCATGGTTCCTCAGGAACTAGCAAATGCTGCATTTGACTTCATGTTGAACCTGCATAATCGCGGTTTCATCACCGAGCTCACCATGCAGGATATTCGACAAGGCTTGGAATCACGCGCGCTAAATGAAGAAGAACTTTGCGAGTTTCTCAAATGGTGTGGATCAAAGCTGGAAAACGGCGAAATCGACATACCTGGCTCGAGAAGTCTTTTCGAGAACACAGTTGCCAACATTGACGTTCAGCCTGAAAAGAACTCTGGGAGAATTCTCGCGTTGGGGGATATCAGCACATTCGTAAACCCAGCCCGTATTGGTCCACACCTGCCGCTTCCTCCTGACACGATACCATTCACTTTCACACGTGGGATGACCATGAAGCAGTTGCAAATGTTTGGGTGGACAGAATTATCAATGGTACGGTGGTTGCGCCACATGACAACCCAGCCACAGCTAGAGCAATTCACGACTGATGAGAATCTTGCTCTATCAGTACTCACACTGACTTCCAAATGCTGGGAACAGCTCGATGGAACATCCAGAGACACTGTAATCAAGATCTTGACACCTCACCAGATCATGCCTACAAAGATGGGCATGCGCCGACCGACCGAGTCATACTTTCCGACAGTCAAGCTTTTTGACGACCTGCCGACTGTGAAGCCATTTGCTGGTTCAAAGGAGAAATTTCTTCTCTCACTTGGGGTGCGGAAAACAATTGACCTTCCCATGGTTTTTGACCGGATGCGCAGTCGCGATGGAGAACAGGGCGAAAAGTCAGAGCGGCCTTCATGGAACCACGTTGATCTCATTCGATATTTTGCATCCGTCATCAATGAAATCCCAAAGAAAGATCTTGATAGATTACGCGAGACGGCGTTTTTGCCGGGCGAAGGTACGAATGTCAAACCCGGCCAGCAGTTCAAGGCTTCGGATCTATATGCTCCGGATCCAGCAATCCTCGTGCTGGGCTTGAATCAGATCAAGCTGCCGTTCGAACTCAAGTCAGGTACTCGAGAGGGCTTGCTTCTCCTAAACCTTGGGCTACGGCAGTGGCCAGACTCCATCACTATCGCAAACATACTCCACCGTGCTGGCCAGGCAAAGGACGTGCAGCTCTACACACGCGCCATGGACTATTTCTTAGCAAACTACTACAAGAACAATTACAGTGCAGAGGCAAACAAGTTTGCTGCCCTCACCCTTCCTATTCTGCCGACTGAGCAAGCGCCTTTTCCAGCACTGGTCGGGCCGTTCCAGTGCTACACGAACGAACATGCAGCGTGCCTAGGTTTTCCAATACTCAGAAGTGACCTTCGCAGTCATGCCGAGAAACTGGGAGTGCATCGGGATCCAAGCATCGGCCCTTGTGTACAGTATCTCACCAAAACCCCACCCAAAACCAAGCTAGATGCTGAAATGCAATTTGCTTACTTGGCGTCGCGAGGTTCTGATCTGGACCAGTACAAGGGGCTGATACAAAATTTGGCAACTGCGAACATTGTGCCAATATTTCGAAAGTATTACCTTGATCCTACCTGCAGTGGGTTCGAAGATCGATCCAAGAATCAGACTGGAAAGACGGAGATGCGCATTCATCATTACGACGCACCTGAGCATGTCTTTGTTGGGCGCGATCAAGAATACCGCGGAATTCTTGACTACGTTCATTATGGTGCCGAAGCCACGGTCTTCTTGCTCAAAGTCGGCGCAAAGCACGAGCCCACCACACACGATTTGGCGTACTTGGTCGCGAAGAACCCCTCCCGCTTTCTCAACACCATTGGCCAAGATAAATACCTCGATCTGCTCAGGAAGCTAGCAGAGCACGCCGGGACTCTGTGGAAAGACAAGGAGCTGGTCAAGGCACTTGTAGCATCCAGGCTGCTCCTTGGATACCGTGATATCAAGGAAGATACGAAGAAGGCCGAAGCAGGTGACGAAGACATGGACGATCTGGATGAGGATAACGTGCATCGTGAATGGTCGTTGAACAAAGCCAGCGAGATTGTCATCATCGACAATGTCAACTACATGACGAGATTCCGTGACTTTATCATTGCAGCACCTCAGGAGGAGCTTTTGGAGGAGTTTTACGCTCGCTTTGGTGTGCAAAAGGTTTCTGATCTTGTCAAGACCGACCAACGTATCGGAACTGTGGTGCGTGACCAGACACCGGCACAGGATCTCCGACGAGACATTCTCGAGCGTGTGCGTCTCTTCCTCCACGAGTATGAACGCGATGCTTCTTCAAAGGCAATCAGACACGATGCTAAATGGCTCGGGTCAAACTTGACCGTTCAGTGCGTGTCTGATATTTCCATTCGGTACTCTCTAACAGAGCGCAATGTCGCTACGTCGTCACGGAAGTCGGCTGTAATTATCAAAGTTCGCAGTGTCGGCTATGTGCTGAACATTACGCCAAAGTACGATCTCTACGAGGTGTCTAGCGAACTCGTAAGGCTCTTGGTATCGCGACCAAAGCGAAACGACGCAATCGCTCTTGAGCGTATCCTGACTGAGCCGCTTCGTCGCTTGCAACAGAAGGGTATCAATGTAGAGCGCATTCTACGTAGGAAAGAGCACGAAGCTCGCATAGCCAGACAGGCAGAGCAAGAACGAGAGGAGGAAGAGCAACAGCGCCTGGCAGAGCAAGCCAAGTCTGGTCTTGTCAAGACGGAAGAGCGAGAAAACGTGCCACCCGCAACACCGGAGAAGAGCAACCGCATTCCCGGGGCATTCGACAGTCCAGAAACTGGCATGGAAGTGGCGAATCACGGACGTCAGCAAGATGATGGAGGTCTTATCAACAATTGGGCAAAGAAACTTGGATTCAAGAACACCCCTGCTCCTACGTCTAGCGGCACAGACGGACCTCAGATTAGCCGTGATATCCAAGCCACCAAGTCCAACATCCAAAACGCGATCAAGGAGTGTCGTCCAACAGGCATGGACAACATCAACACCAAGCACCACCAAGACGCTACAGAGCTGGACCGCGGCGGCTACTGCACAGGCGAGCAATGGGAAAACTTGCACAAGGCATTTTCTGTCCCCTTTTCTGGTCGTCACGTCGATGTCTACTACGGCCGCGACGAAACCGCAGCCCCCGCAGAGCTTCAGGGACATCTCCAAGCCTTCCTACCCCTGATCTTCGGGCTGACCTCGCTCTTCACGGTCAACCCGGCCGCCGTCAACATTTTCCTCGACAAGAAGTCGAATACTGTCGCTTTCAATCTCAACGGCAGTTTGTTCTTCAATTTGGCATGGTTCATCGCCCTTCACGCCGATGCCTGCCACACTAAGGAGGGGAAGTTGACGGCTCTCGACAGCTGGTTCTGCACGTACTGCCACGAACTGGCGCACAACCTTGTGGCGGATCATAACGCGAGACATTCTTGGTATCAGCAGCAGATTATTATAGAGTACAGTCAAAAGTACCGTGCGGCATTGGAGGGATTCACACAGGGAATGTTGATTTGATGAAGCTGGGAGTAACGAAGTCTATGTTTTTTTAACGCATTGTTTTCAATCCTGCATTATTATATTGCATTAGACTAAGATTTTTAGAATATCAATTCATTATGGAAAAAAAAACTCTCGCTATGCTACGCTGAGGTAACAAACAACAAAAGGGTATAATACTTTTTAGTACTCCACACTCGCCATCCAATCGTTTCGTAAGCCAAAGAAGAAAAAATAGATCCAAACAAAAAAAACATTATGCCTTCTCGTTCTCCTTGGCCTCCCTTGCCTTCCGCCACTTGGGCCCCATCTTAATCTCAAGCAGCATCAGCGGCAAAAGCGTACAACACACGCCGCCCCAAAACGTATACGTCCAGCCGTCGCCCCAGCGACTCGTCATGCGATCAATAACGGAGACGAGAATAGCGGCAAGCGAGCAGCGCACGAGATTCGTACACGCGGTGGCGCCCGAGCTCCGCGATTGCAAGATATCAATATTAAGCGTCATAGTCGTGTTGAGGATGCCAATCGATGTCCAGCCGAGCAACACGCCGAGGAGCAGCGGCACAGCGATGTGCGCGGTAGCTTGAATGGTCCAGCCCCATGCTACGACGCAGACGATGAAGAGGGAGAGGTAAAACGGCATGATGCGTAGTCTGGCATGTTCAATTGTGAAGCTATCGCCGCACCGCGCTTTGATACGTGCGTACTCCCAGTCTAGCATTTTGCCGGTTAAAGTAGACCCGATGATCATGCCTGCGCCGACGGGGAGGTAGCATAGTCCGAGGACTGTTTCGGAGAGGTGGGGATAGATTTTCGCGAAAGAAGAGGAGATTGTGGCGGTGATGGTGTAGTTTACGGCGTAGACTAGACCCGTGAAGGTGAGGAGGACGATGACGTCTGGGTAGGTAAAGAGGACAAAAGGGTTGACGGAGTGTTTTGATTTGGCGCGGGTATCCGGGTCGAAAGCTTCTTTTGTGGCTTTTTGGCCGACAATGGGGATGATGGCGCGTTGGATGCGGGGGACGGGGATGGAGCCGTTGCCGGCGATTGAGCGGAGGGTTTCGGGGAGAAAGAGGGCGATGAAGAGGAGGCAGAGGGCGACCATTATGACGATGGACCAGAAGATGGAGCGCCAGCCTAGGCTTTGGGATAGGGCGCCGCCGATGGCAGGGGCGATGCAAGGAGCGAGCATGGGGCCTAGGTTGAACATGCCAAAGTAGCCGCCGCGCTCTCTGCTCGTGGAGATGTCGCCGATGACGCCGGCTCCCAGGGCAATGGTGCTGGCACTGCCGCCGGATTGGAAGCAGCGGAGGAAGAGGAGAAGCCAGAATTGGTCGGTGGGACAGAGGGCCAGGCCAATGCTTGAGGCGACGAGGATACCGAGGCAGACGAGGTAGACGAGGCGGCGGCCGAAGCGGTCGCTGATGGGGCCCCAGAGCATGGGGCTGATGCCTTGGAAGACCAGATACACGGTGACGGTTTGGTTGAGGTCGTCGACTGTTTTGCCAAAGGCGCGAGCTAGGGCTGGGATAGCTGGGAAGTAGATGTTTGCAGGAAGAGGACTATTGGGTGAAGGTTAACCAATAGTACTCACGATACTTCGACATAAAGACATACCTATAGAACCCTGCCAGGGCAACCATACCAACAATGATCCATTTCTCTTTGCTAGTATAGATACTATACGGGACTTCGACTTCGCCCTCGACAGGCCCTAGTGCAGCCTCATCGACTGGAGCAGGGTCCTGCTTGTCTTGCTCACCCACTTTAGCCATGACTTGACGTCAAAACAAGCTTCAGCGACTAAAACAAGAAAAGAAGAGCAAAGCCTACCAAAAGTAGGATGGAGGCAGTACGGGTAGCTGGGGAAATAAAAAAAAGGGAATCGCAAACAAGAGCCTCAGGCCTCGATCGACGCCCACGAGCGCCCTCTTAACCAGATGGCTCCCCATGATCAAAAAACGCCTAAAACATGTGCATCATCTCTTTTCCCCGAACACAAAGGGCCCCGCTACTACAGACGCCCCAGCTTCGGCGTATCAAGGACCGCGTTGCAGTGTGGTTGGGCGAGACAGTCCTCCGTAGTCCGACCAGTGAAGCGATAAATGGGGGGTGCAGGACGACCGGCGAGATATCGGCAAAGCGGGTGTCTACGACACACACAACAAAAGGCCCATCAGGCCATTTGACTGTGTGCTTCACACTGCAAGACTGCAATTCGCCACGCTAGTAACCGTGCCTCCGACCGTATACGCCCACTTTCGTCATCTTTCCCAGATTAGCAGGACGAGGACTATGCTGCATGCAGCTAAGGACCGCGGATAGCTAGACGGTTGTACCGGCCTAGATTTGTGGTTTCTGGTCCAGGCGTCGTCGGCTCGTTTCCGGTTTGCCCTTGTTCGTGTGAACCCGGCGGCGGGTAGGCGAGGCCCTAGTGCGGTGTAACCTTTTTGGTGTCGAGAGCGAATACCGGGGAAAAGAAGATTTTTTGCTGCGGTACCGCCACGCCGATAAGAAACTTGGGGGGAAAGGAGTCATGTTGACTACGAGTATGGTGGAGCGGCTGACTCAGACATAACTATGCCATAGGCTTATGGGGAATTCAGGCTCCGCGCTTTCCACACAGCTGGGGCTACTTTTTCTGATTTGTCTATCGTTTGGACGCCTTGGAGTGGGGGTCCAGTTCCGTTGGTTGCATCCTCCCCCAAACCAGTGGTTTCACCGCAGTCTCGGTATTACGAATATCTGACAAAATCACGGCTACCGTTATCCTTCTTGTCGGGTAGAAGCGGCCAAGGTGTGGGTTAGGCGACGTTGAAAAAGAAAAAAAGAAAGACATGGCAGATATACCGGAGGTGGGAAGAAGTAACCATGGCGGGGGTAGGGTCCCATCTGAAGACGACATCAAGCGGCCATCACTCGTCAAGATTGGAGGAGTGGACAACGATGTCACACACGGCAAGCAAGAGAAATTGGGAGGATGGAGGGGTGTGTTGAACTTTTTGGAGAAAAAGGGAGATGTTGAAATCAGAGGATGCACCCCAGTTGCCTACGAGGACAGGGACGAGACGGCCTACTCCAAGATCTTCACACTGTGGTTTTGCATGAGCTGCAACCCCCTTCCGTAAGTGATTGCACGGTCATGACAACGAGATCTAGCGACTGATCATGACACAGGGTCACGTTTGGCATGGTGGGGACCATGTCATTTGGCCTCAGTTTACGAGATGCAGCGCTGGTTATCCTCTTCTTCACGCTCGTCTCCACAGTGCCTGTAGCGTACATGTGCACGTGGGGCCCCGTGACTGGCATGCGACAACTTGTCCAAGCGCGATTTTCGTTTGGAAAGTACTTTGTGTCTCTTCTGATACTGCTCAACCTCGCAACGCTGACTGGCTTCTGTGTGGTTGACAGTGTCATTGGCGGCATGGCCTTGTCTGCGGTGCAAGATGGAACGACCATCAATGCGACTGTCGGCATCGTTGTGATTGCCCTACTGTCACTCGTCATATCCTTTTGTGGGTTTGGTGTGCTGCACCACTACGAGCGATGGGCGTGGATACCCGCACTGCTGGCACTTGTCATTGCTGCAGGGTGCGGAGGCCAGCAACTCAGTAACCAGGTTGCTGCCCCTGCGGCGACTGCATCGCAGGTACTGTCCTTTGGCGGTCTAGTGGCCAGCTTCATGTTGCCGTGGGCCGCACTGGCCAGCGACTTCTCCACATACATGCACCCAAAGGCACCTCGGTCCCGCATCGCATTGTACACATATATTGGCCTCGCACTCCCCACAGTCCTGTTGATGACACTGGGTGCAGCAATGGGCGGCGCGACACCCAATGTGCCGTCGTGGCAAGCGGGCTACGAGGTTAATGCAGCGAGCGGTGTCCTTGCAGCCATGCTGCACCCAGCAGGAGGCTTTGGACGGTTTGTCACTGTTGTGCTGGCATTCAGCATGCTGGGCAACCTGTCTGCGACCATGTACAGCGTCACACTCAACCTGCAGATGCTCGTGCCCTGGCTCTTCCGCGTCCCACGCATCGTCTTCAGCATCGTCATCACGGGCATCGTCATTGGCGTCGCTGTCGAGGCGTCAAAGAGCTTCTTCCTCAACCTTGAGAACTTCATTGGTGTCATTGGATACTGGAGCGCTGCGTTCATTGGCATTGTGCTGGTTGAACATGTGCTATTCCGAGGTGGCAGCTTTGCAGCCTATACCGAGGATACGGACGCATGGGACGACGCACAGAAACTCCCAGCGGGATATGCAGCGCTGGGGGCGTTTCTGTTGTCGTTTGGGCTCATTGTACCTTGCATGGGCCAGATCTGGTGGACAGGGCCTATTGCAGAAACTACGGGCGACATCGGACTCGAGGTGGCCGTGGTGCTGTCGGCGCTTTTATACGTGCCCTTGAGGACGTGGGAGAAGAGGATATGCAGGAGATGAGCAGGGGTTGGTTGTGGTAGCTTTGGGTAGCGGCGCTGATCACACATGCAGCCATGCAGCTCGGAGACTTGATTTTTGGGTGGGTGTTTGAAGGGTAGACATGGCATGTGGTTGGTGGTTGGCAGAGGATTGCTGAAAGCGAGTTAGGCTGGGGGGGTCGTGTTGCCTCGGTTGTACTACTTACCCCGGGAACTGGGCTGGTGACGTTCACAAGCCAGCAGCTGGAGCCGCAGGCCAAATGCGGAGACGCAGACCATGGCCCGGAGCCTCCATCTGATAATTAAGCCGCTTTTCTTTGCACGCCCTTCCTTCGCATCATCGCCTCTCTGCTGACTGCTGCATCGCTCCCTACTTACTTGATCACGACCACGACCATCTCCCCGGCTGCGCCTTCCACTCGTCTCGACGCACCCCGCTTGCGCTTTCCGTATTTGCCCGTCCATCGCGCATCTCGCATATCCATCTTCAACACCACCTGGCCATGTCCCAGGCACAGGAAAAGGCGCAGGAGAAGCTGGCCGAGTCGACGGCGGCAGTGCCTCAAAGCACGACGGCCCAGCAGAGCGATAATGTTGCCCACGCCCTCGCTGGCGCTGGCGGGGGTCTGCTCTCCATGGCCCTGACGTATGTCTGCCCTCGACCGTCTCAATGCTATGCGCACCACTAACAAGATATGCTCGCAGCTATCCCCTCATCACCCTCTCCACTCGCGCCCAGGTTGAGTCGAAGCGCGCCCAGTCGTCGACGCTCAATGCCGCCCGCCGCATCATCAAGCGCGAGGGCGTCGCCGGACTCTACGCCGGCATGGACTCTGCCCTCTTCGGCATTACAGTCACAAACTTTGTCTACTACTACTGTACCTCGGCTCCTTTTCCCATCCCACTCAAACCCCGTATTGACCCCAACTAGGGTATGAATGGACTCGCTCGTTTTTCGAAAAGGCCGCCCTCAAGGCCGGTCGCGCCTCGTCCAAGCTCACCACCATTGAGTCGATGATCGCTGGCGCCATTGCCGGTAGCGCCACGGTCCTCATGACCAACCCCATCTGGGTCATCAACACGCGCATGACAACGCGCAAGTCTGAGGCCCGGGAAGGATCGCTGCCTGGTGCGCCGGTCGAGAAGGCCCCTTCCACTCTCGCCACCCTGTTTGCTCTCATCCGTGATGAGGGCCCTGCTCGCCTTTTTGCCGGCGTCATGCCCGCCCTGGTCCTTGTTATCAACCCTATCCTGCAGTACACCGTGTTCGAGCAGTTGAAGCAACTGTTGGAGAAGAAGAGGCGCGTGACCCCCAAGGATGCCTTTTACCTCGGTGCTCTCGGCAAGTTGCTGGCTACAAGCATTACCTACCCCTACATTACGGTTAAGAGCAGGATGCACGTTGCAGGCAGGGATGGTCCAAGGGAGAACATGATGACTACTTTCAGGAGGATCATCCGTGAGGAGGGATACACTGGTCTCTATGGAGGTATGTATCTGTTTTTCTTTGGAGAAAATGACGAAAGCTAATATGAAAATAGGCATTGGACCCAAGGTTACCCAGAGCGTCATCACCGCTGCCTTCCTCTTCGCTTTCAAGGATGCTCTCTATGCCTACACTATCCAGGCACGCAAGAAGCTTGCCCTCCGTAAGGCGTAAAGCTCTGAGAAGTAGATTTGCAGACATGTGAATAAGTGATGTGACCCCCACAACCGCTTATGTCGGCATCTGCCCACAACGATACTCTCTCCAGACATCAACCAAGTGCACACATGGTGCTCACAATAACTTTATTGCTGAATCGCTTTGTCAAGCGCATCCAGTACAATCCCCATATACCCCTAGAACAAACACACCAAGGAATAAATTATATAATCCCATCCACGTTCTTCCATCTAGTGATTGTGCTCTTCTTTCAAAGAAGAGCATCCAGTGCTTGTTGCAAAATTGATTCTCGGAAGTAGACTTTATCTCTTTCTCATCTCATCACTGGTACAGTTACATGTCCACTCAGCTTAGTAACATCCCTTCCATTCACCTTCACTATTCTACCACTCTGCTCTCCTAAATCCTCGCTATTCAAAAACAAACCCCCCCTGAACCCGAAATCTCTAATACCCATTCAAACACAAATCCAATATGCCACCCATGCTTAGCACACCTAGTTCATCACTTCAACAGTATCGATATCATTCAACTCGAGGATTAAGGTTGTTTGCTTGGTATAATTGGTAATATGAATGCATGTATCTTCTTTATTACAAACAGCCCGATTCCTTGATGAGACATGGAGAAAATTGTGTTTGGTGATTTGAAATATGTTGTACCTTTGGGGTGTACGGGTAGTGATACGAGTTACGTAGCGAGAAGAGTACGAGATGATGTTGGGAGGGGAGAAATAGTGGCATCCTCATGTAGAAGAAAAGACAAATTGGAGTGGCATCGGATTTATGCCAGGGTAGAAGAAAGGTATTTTGTGCATCTAAGAAAATATGCGTACAAGTCTTATGTGTCTTGCCTGGTGAGTATACATGCAAAGGTGGGGTGAGTTCTTCGTGTGTCTAGATTGGGTTTATGGGATTACAAGTGTTTCCATGTAACGGAGTTTAGTTAAGAGAATAGAGTGTGCAGTAGTTGGAAGAGAATCAGATTACTTGGGTATCATGTGCTACAAGTTCAACTGAGGGGGGCTTAGACTCCTACGACCTCGATGGCATCTTTATCAGGGGTCTTGTCTCAAGTATAACAAAGAAACTATGCCACTAGCTGCTTCAGAGTGAGTTCCATGATTTCAACCATGCGTCCCAAAGCTGCTATGCCGGCATCTCCGTGGACATCACCTCCGAGTATTGCCATGAATTCTTCCTCTTCATGGCGCTTGGTGACATAATATAAAGCATCTCGGCCACTTTTGTCTTGATCAACCATTTCAAGGCCAACGATGTTGGCGAGGTATTCTTGCAACTCATCATTCAGACAACCTTCTATAGCTGCAGCGTGCAGTAACGTCCTGCCCCCCTATCCTTCTTTCTCAAATCGATACCGCTCTTGTGGAGGAACCGTAGCATTTCAACATTAGCGTCCAGGTTTCGGATGCACAGGTTTCCAATGCTCTGGCCCTTGCTGTGCGAGTAAGTTGCTCCTGCTTCGATCAATACCTTAGTGGTGTGCTCGTGCCCACATTTCAGCGCAGCAAGAAGTGCATAACCGTATTTACCACCCTTTGCGTTGACTTTGGCACCAGCACTGAGTAGGATTTTGACAATACGATCATGGCCCTTGGTCGAAGCTGCTTGCAGTGCGTTATCACATTCTCCTCCTCGTGCGTTAGGGTCTGCATTCCCGGAAAGGAAGAGGCTCACGACCTTTTCGAGACCAAGCATCGATGCACAATATAGTGGAAGGATGTTCGTTGTCGATCCTGGGTAGTGGTTCCACCTGAATTCCCTATCCGGATGGTTTATTCGCATCCAAATGAAGTAGGCAGGGTTTTCTGTAGATAACAGTCGGCAAGCAAGGTTGTTGACTTCTACCTCTTGATCATCTGCCTTTCGAACATGTCTACTCCAGAACTTCGCGGAGTATCTTGCTAACTTGAACTCCTGCAATGCTCGATCTGTTATGAGTTCAGGCTCCTGGAACTGGTTGAGGTAACCAAGACACGCCGCAGCTATAGCACCATGACACAATGCAGCGTGTAAGCTATAACGCGCTGCCTGACCTCGCTTTATCCTGTCTGAGATGAGGTACTCTTTGACAGAATAGTGGGCAAGCACAACAATCTCTTCTGATGGCTTCTCGAATAACGCGAACGAGCTATTGAGAAAATACGATTCATGGGTAATGGAAACCAAACTAGAGCAAATTCTTAGTACGTCCAGGGGGTCCTCCAGTACTTCGTCTCTATCAAATTCTGGATCGCGTGACACATCAATTGCAATCACTTCTGCGAGTTCTTCTAATGATAGGGGGCGTTCTGAGAAAGCTAGCCACTGAAGAATGCGGATAGCGTAATCAGCGTATTCCTCGCTGATGCTCGTCAGGATCCGTTCGTAAGTCTTGTCCAGGGTGGATGGTAGCTTTTGGAGTGTTTTCCGCAAACGTTTTCGATTGAGACACTTTCCGAGCGTGTCTAGCTGGCATGCAGCCCACCGAAACCTACACAACAGTCAGTTCGAGAAGCAAATAGGCTTTAAATCGATCATGCATTCCCCTGGAGCCTTTCACAAGGGCAAACTCAATCTCTTGCTGTAGAACAGAATCTTCTTTCGACCTAGCCAAGCCCTTGTCGTCAGAAAGCCTTTGGCGGATGTATAGTTGTATGTCTCTGTCAACTACGTTGCTTTGAAGGCAGATACTGTTGTGTGAATCCACAAATCCTGTTAGTGAGCTCTTGATATCTGGCTCCTCCCGACTTGTCATGATGAGATGCAGATTCGGAATCTTCCAGCTAGCAATGGTTTCAAGCATTTCCAACAACTCAGACCACTGGTTGCACTCATCCAATGTATCCAGAACAATGTGGACTTGTGAAAACTGTATTATCAAATCGCGTGCTACCTCCAACAGACTATCGCGAGCTGGTGGTCGTTTCCCGTTGTCGTGCGAGGAACAAAGTGCGTTGAGACTCAAAGGTATGTCGACAGACTTTTGTGAGAATTGTACGACTAATGATCGTAACATCCGCTCGGTGTCTTGTTTTTGTATGTCGTTGAAATCGAAGTAGAAGTAGGCAACAACATATCCGGAATGCTTGTCGCAATGTAGAAAAACGTCTTTCAGAATAGTGGAACTCAGGATAGTTTTACCGCAACCTGGAATACCGTATAGCCATATGTTCGAAGCAGTTTCCATTTTTCAGGTCTCATAACGCTCTCCATCGAGCAGCCACCGACCAGTGTTATGCTGTCACTGCTTCAGCGCCTTCTGGTAATTTACTGAAGGATCCGGTGCCGGTAACAAGCTTTTTGTTTTGCTCACTTTCGCGTCTATGGCCCTGGTGCTGGCCTCTACTACTTCCCTCATTCGCTTCCGTACATGGCCTTCGCCTTCGCCGTACATGATAGGAATGTGGATATTGAAAATGCCCAAAAGTGAGTAAACTTGATCTTCCTCACGTGTTGTCTTTCTTTCTTTAGCCCATCGCATACGTTCCTCGACGCTGGATTTAGAGAGATCATGTCCTTGAAGAGCCTCGACTGGTATTTTTGTTGTCTCTGAGATTTCCTTTGCGAGTGAATGCTTGTCGCCCAGCAAGACTCCCTCTTTGGAAAAGAACTAGACGCATGATGGAGCAAGAAGCTCTTGCAACGTCCATTCTTGGGAGAACCACCTGCTTTCCGAGAACGCCACGCTGTCTGGGTCACAATCTGTACTAGACACGTCGGAGAGGTAAGTATAGCATTTTGATGCGTTACGGTACCACTTGAACATGGATCTGATTGCTTCCGAAAGCTCTGGTTCGCTGGACTTGTTGATGCAGCAGGTATCGATCCAGGAATGGTAAAGGTCATCTTTTGCAGCCTGTTCCATGCAAAATGTAGGTTTTTTATAGCCATATTTCTTTCTCCCTGTACCATTGGATAAGTCCTGATATGTGACTTCGTCATGATCTGCACCCCAAGTGTGTGAAAGAATGGCGTAGGGTGAAATATCGCTACGTTGAGGTCCGGCAAGGTTGAAACCGTCATCATTGGTCTTCAAAAGACGCACCTTAAAGGAAACGCTGTGTGATGCAAGAAAGGAGAGGTCAAATGTTGATGTCGACGACCGGTGTGAGTGATGATAGATAGAGGGTCTCCGGTCGCCCTTAAGGATGCTGGCAAGTGAGCCAGCTGAAGTTGGGGGCAGTGCAGAGACTAACCTGGTTGGCTGGTGAATACCAATCGTGGGGCAGGTGCTTCCATGGGCTGCAGCAGGAGTTGATTTAGGCGACAAGGCTACCTGGTGGTATCTTCTAATTGGCAATACCGTAGTGCAGTGGAAAGAACTCTGATTTCTCTCATTGAGACAACAAAGAAATATGGGAAACAAACACCACAAATATGAGTAGCCCCAAAGAATGAGTAACCAAGAACACAGAGTAATCAGGAAGCACATGCATTGGACAGATACTCATGATCATTATTCGCAATCGTATCACATATACCCTCACGCTTGCCACACCATCTAAGCCGCCCGGCTTTTGGTCCCGGTTCCATATCGCAACCCTAGATATATAAATACATGCGGAGAAAAGTACGCCGCTCCAGTCGACCAGAAGCAGAGCCCATAGGGCTGAGAGCAAAAAAGAGAAGATACTCGCCACGCTCAGATCGCTCAACTAAACAAGACTGAATGCACAGTGCACTTGCTGAATTACACAAAGCAACCCTGACTGCACTGTGGAGTAGAAAGTATGGGGCTCGCCGGCTAAGCAGCAGGCTGAACACCGAGATCAGCACCGCCACGGCCACGGGGAGCACCACGTCCGCGATAGCCGGAGCCACGACCACCACGCCCGCGCCCGCGTCCACGTCCCCGGCCTCGGTAACCATCGACACTGCCTTGGCCAAAGGTTTCCATGTTCTTCTGACGTTCTTGGCTGCGGAACTCTTGGCCACGGGTGGCTGCTTCTTCTCTGTCCTTGAGTTCGCTTGAGATGTTGTCAAAGAAAGAACTTTTGTCATACATTGACCCGCTCGGAATAACGACCTCTTCCTTGTTGGCAGATGCATCCGCTGTGGAAGCCGCGCCTTCACCAAGAGGCGATCCAGAAGCAATAGCCTCTTTGATCAAATCTTGCTTGTTGAATTTGGCGTTTGCGGATTCAAAATCAAAGTCAGTCGTAGGGACCTCCATCTTGGGATGTTGTGAGTGAAGACCACCTCGGCCTCCCCTTCCACCCCTGCCACGGAACTCGCCAGTACCTCGTTGACGTGGCGCATGCTGGCGACTCTGATCACGCATGCCCTCAACCTTCTGCGCCAAGTTGTTCATAGGATCCGAAGCAGGTGCTTGGCCTTGAGGCTGGCTCTGACCTTGACCCTTGTTCTGGATGTTGAGCTTTGCCATAGCCTCGGCCACAGCGGCGGTCGCCAACTGCGTAGCATTCTGTTGTTGGGCAGCGCTAGGGACTTGAACAGTGGCTACAGCGGCAGCGGCTTGTTGGTGCCCGTGAGGTGCCGTCTTGCTAGCCCTTGGGCTTGGAATGGGAACAGCAGGAATAATCCGCCCTCCCTTTGGTCCACTGGATGCACCCTTCCCTGAGGCAGGCTGCTGAGTGTTCTGAGGATGGGGTGGTGCCAAAGCAGCCGATACATCAGGCTTAGAATCGACTGGCGGCGGCGGAGCCTGTTTCGCACCAGCGGGTGTGGGAGTAGCGCCAGAACCCTTTGCACCATTCTTTGGTTTGGCCGACGCACCGTCTGCCTCAGCAACCTTGGGCTGTTGCGCTTGGCCAGATTTATCATCTTTGCCAGCTTGGGGTCCTGGACCTCGCGGGCCTTGCGGAGGTTGGTTTTGGTTTAGGCCTGGAGGGCCGATGGGCATGTTTGGTGAGAACGGACCCGGGGGCGGGGGGAAGCCCTGGCCAGGGGGGAACCATCCAGGAGGGGCACCAAACGGAGGCATGCCAAAAGCGCCTGGAGGTCCGCCAGGAGGGAAAGGACCTGGGCCGCCAGGGAACCCACCCTGAGGGCCAAACCGATTGCCATATGGACCTCCAGGACCACCAAAAGGTGGGTAGCCACCAGGAGGGAACTGACCAGGCTGAGGGAAGTTCTGCGGTGGCTGTTGGCGACCGGACACGTCTTGCGGGCTGCTTTCTTGCCGTGCCTGAGCTTGTTGTACCTGTGGCGCATGCGTCGCGTCAGCTTTAGCTTCAAAAGTGATTGAACAGGAAATAGCTTGTATGTAAGGGTCTCAGAAGGAAGGCAACGGAAAATATCCACACGGTTTTGCGCTCTCGGTGGTTAAATTATTTACATCCGAAAATTTTACATCACCGGACAAGAAGAAGAAAAGAAGTGATGTAGACTTACTCCGATGATGGCGGGGTCCTGTGGCATGGCAGGCTGTGCCTTTTCCTTTACCGGCTCCTCAATGCGCAAGTCTTTGACATCGCTACCGCGGAAGACAATCTGCTCATACACGACGTCTGATGGAGGATACTCGTCCTTGCCACCCTTGCGGCCTTCTGTACCAAAGGATCGCACATTGTCTAGTGAGACTGTGGAAGCTTCTGAGTTGATCTCGACGAGCGTGCCGACATAGCTATGGCGAGTCAATGGCTGCAATAACCCAGCATCAACTGGGTACTGACCGAATGTCGCTTTTCGAGATGAGGGAAATGCGAGATCTGCGCGTCGCAGGTCAGTTGGAGCTTGAACAGTATTCAACGCGGCCGCGACTCACCCAATGAACTCGGACATGACTACGTAAGGTGGGTATCAAAACGGGTATGAAAGAAATGGAAGCTCAAGGAGAAAAGAAAGGGCTGGTAGAATTTGGGAAAGTCGTAAAGTTGATGGAGGGGGGGTGGAAGTGAGGGAAGGTCGGAGAGAGGTTGGTCGTGGGACGAAGCTGAGAGAAACTTGGCGCATGTTTAGCGAGGCGTAGCCTGGGAGCTTGAGCCTCCTGCCGGCCAACCTTTACCCCACACTGCCTCATGTACCACGTTCACGACGTACATTGTCTGGGCTTACAGGTTCATGCGCATTGATCCATGACCCAGCGAATCACATGACCCTCGAGGTCGCCGAGTCTTTTGTTTTTGACTATTTTTATATCGAGTAACGGGTGAGATTGAGCCATGAGCGTCACTACAGATGGACTAGACGACGTCTATGAAGCGCTAGAGCGGTATAACTGGGACGATGATGTGGAGTTTCAGGCTGGTTTGCAAGCGATCATAGGCAGCAACAGTACGCCAGAACAAACGACTGAGCTAGCATTACGGGCGAGGTGTTTTTATTATGCGAGGTATGTACAAGCATGGCAATCATAACCATGAAAGAGCCGTCCCAAATCGTAATCCCACATAGCCTATTACATTGATCCATGCTTACTGATACTGCATAGAAAATACAATAAAAACATCGACTTTGACGCCTATAAAGCCTATCGCAATGCCCGCAACCGGCCACCTCCCACACCCCCCAGTTCAACCAACGTACTCGCATCCTCAGTCATAGACCAAGAGTTACCCTCTACCACCACAAGCACTACTACTCCCGCTATAACCACCGAACCAAGCGGCGTTCTTCCTTCGCCTCCAACTGCAGCCGAGCCACCCGCTCCTTACCCCACCAGCTTCGCGCACATAGTTGACTTGATCACAAGCGGAAAACCAGTACCAGGTATCAAGGAGATTCCGCCTACAGTGCTAGAAGGACAAGGGACACAAGCGACGAAGCCCAAGCGGAAGAAGCCGTGGGAAAAGGACGAGATTCCTGTCGAAGCTGCCAAAGAAGCTAGTAGTGTGTAGATGGGTATTTTGGTTTCTGGTCCCTAGATTTGCTTAAGTAGTCAGAGATGATTTGAGGGATAAAGATATAGAGGGAAATGGCTTGTTGATGGTTACAGGAAGTGGGTGCTATGCAAAATGGCCCTTGGTGCATCTAGCTCCCAAACTTGTTCACTGCTCGAAGATGATTTGAAGGATGAAGTATAGACTTGAATCTCTTGCAAACAATGAACTGAAGCGAAACACAGTGTTGAAAGTAAAAAAAGTCTCTCAAACCCATATGATCAATCCCGTCTATCAATCAACAAAGCACCACCTCAACCAATCACTACCACAACACCAGAGCACGCACAGTCAAAAGAACAAACATATGAACGAACTTCGTATACTAAAACTATCTACATGCAGCAAGACTAAAATAAAATACACCCCTTTCATCCAGAAAGGAGAATGAACCCGAAATGGTCCCAACAGCAGCGGCGACAACAGCAACAACACTGGGGTATATAACAAATCCCAACCACCCAATCCAACCTAACACACCTTGTATACGCCAAACATATCTTATACAAATTCACCTTTGGATGAAAAAAAAACTTGGAAAAAAAGGAAAGGGGGAAAGAGGATAACCTCACAACACAGCCTCAAGAATTCTATCCTTGAGCCTGCCCACCTCCTCCCTACTCTGCCAAAGCTGACTCCTAGCATCAAGATACCTACTCTTCCAACTCTCTGCATTCGCATTCGCATCCGCAGCCGTAGCATGCGCATCACGGGATGTCTCAGCCTCATCCTCTGGATCGGTAACAGCCGACATATCGAGGCCTTTGGCAACCCACTCACCCGTGAGACCCCCAAACGCGACGTTGAAAAAGACATCAAACGTTTCTTTGATACTGCGAGCGCCATGTCTCGCGGTGGAAGATTCAGTCTCGTCGTCATCTTCCTCTTCGTCAACGGGGGATTCGTAGCCATCGCCGCCGACGCGAAACCGTACGCACTCGACGCGCCGCACACCACCCGTGGGACCGCCGGCGCCGACACCGACGGTAGAGGCGAGGCCGAGACAGCTGCTGATGGCGATGCCGAGGGCGTAGTCGCTCATGAGTTTCGTGGGGGCAAGGGAGGTAGGTGGTGGCTTGGCGTGGAGGGGCTGTAGGATTGCAGAGGCAAGGCGCTTGGCTTCATTACCTCGTAGGCGCTTGCGCCGTCCGGTTAACGGGGCGCGTATTAGTTCTGCTGCAAGCGCGCGGTTCAGCGTCTCGAGGGGGACTGCTGAGGGCAACTGTGGTGATGTTGAGGGGAGTTCGGGTTTTGGTTGTGAGTGTGTTGGTGGCGGTGGTCGCGGTTGCGCGGGCGTCTCGGATGGGGTGAGATTCCCATGGTACGTCTGATGCGTTGGTCGATGTTGCTTCTCGTACATGCTTTGTTGCTCGTAGGCATTTGCAGGCGAGACTTGAGTGGACGCAGCGCTTATCGGGGATGGTCCTAATCCAGTGCTTGGAGAGTCGTTTTGTAATCCATTAACAAGCACAGTTGGCGTGGTCAGGCGTACTACTGGATTACCAACATTGGGAGGAACCTGCAGACTCAGCCGTTGCTTCTGTGGCGCACCTCCCGCAGACGGTCCCTCGATTTTCGATGGAGAAACGGCAGACGCCGGTGTGGGTGGGAAACGGACAGAGCCCTCTGGAGCTGGTGGGTCCGAATGCGCTCGCTCAACTATTGGCGTCAAGTTGCCTGGGTTCCGATCAATGGGCGGCCCTTCTTTGGTCTTTGGGTTTGCTGGAAATGTCACAAAGGGCCCGTCTCTGATCGAACGATTACTAGGAGGCCGACCGCGAAGTTTGCCAGTGGCGGTTCCGCTGTTGGATGACCAAGCCGATGATACAGCAGGACCGTGGCGCCGGCGAGAGCGTGACCTGGTGCTGGAGGGCGTGACGGCGGATTGTGGTTCGTCGAAAAACGGATACGCAGACTGCGGAGTGACAGCAGAAAGCGGATGTGGTGTATGAGGTGTGTCCTGTGTATTTACGCGCCATCGTGCATGATGTCCACCCATTGGTGATTCCGTATAAGGAGTCAGACCGCTCTGACCTAGACGACTAGGAGCTGAGGCTGCAGTGTTGGCAGAAGACGGAGTGACGGTTGAGACTGCAGTCCATGGATCTTGTGGTGTCAGAAAACCTCCATGCATGTTGTTTGGATGCGCGCTAGTAGGGTATGCGGACTGCGGCTGCAATACATTGCCAAACGCCACATTCGTATCCAACTGGGGTCGTTTACGAGCTGGAGTGCCTTCGTCAAAGTCTATATCGTCCTCTCCGTCGTCGGCCTTTCGGCGCCCGCGCTTGGGCTTGAACTTGGGGTCGAGAGCCCTGATAGCCAAGTCTTCCTCGAGAGGCACGCCATCACGCCCTTGGCTTGGAAAGGGCTGGTGGGGAGGCGGTATCTGTAAGTAGTAGGGATGCTGCTTTCCGAGTAGGTATTCAAAAAATGCATCAATATGCATAGCGCGCATCCATCTCTTCAGTCGCACAGAGTACTGCTGCACCTTTTGCGTACTCTGTCCTTCATCTGTGTTTGGTGGCTTCACGCCTAGATCCAGAGCCAGCTGTGTCCAGGTCTTTATTTCTTTTGCGTCAAACTTGCGGATCAACTCAAAGAGGGCCCATGTGCTAAAGGCATTGCCGTCGCTCTTGGGTGGCGTGCGGAACAGCTTGACCAGCTCGGTGGTGTCGGTGGTAGTAGGGAAGTTTGGGTTACAGTAGAGGATGAAGGCGGCGTAGGCATTGTCAATGGTGTCGTCGGATACATCGCGCGGGGGCGGGTCGCGGTCGGCGGGCTCGAAGTGGGCAGTACCCGGGCGCGGCTGGCTGGTGGGTGAGATGGCGGAGAAGCGCGGCGAGGCATTCGCAGAGGCCGGGGGAGTCTGGGAGCTGCGCATGTCGCCATAGAAGCCGTGGGCGAGATGTCCGGTATTGTCAGGCTGAAGTAGATGGCCTGATGGTGTGTGCACATTGCGGCTGGCACCTGTGCTCTGATCCAGTCCCGGGTCAATCGCTGCGACACCACCACTGCTACCACTGCCTCCACCGCTGCTGCCGCCGCCGCCACCGCCGCCGCCTGAATGCCGGAAGGGCGAGTAGGACGGCCCGCTGCCGGGGCCTGGGTGGTCGTAGTGGGTGTGTGTATGGGCGTGGGCGTGGGAGTGGCCGTTGGCTGTCAGGAGGGAATGGTCCGTCTGTCCCTCCTCGCCAAAGTCGACGTGCATGGTTCTTTGGGTTCTCCGCGATGTAACGCTCTATCTCTCTCAGCTGCTCCCGCTGCCGATCAGCATGCCATGAGGGCGCAGTGATGAGTCGCGGCCGCGCTAATGTCAGCAATAGGCCATGGATATGCCCCAGAGAGCGCGCGCGATAGTTTGGTTCCTCTGGTCCACGGGTTCCCTCTTTGCTGACTGGGCTGGATGGACCGCGAAGAAGAGGGCGGAAGGATGGAGCGGCTGCTGTCGCAATGGGGCCTGCAAACGCAGCGCGAACCAGGCCAGGGATAGGATGCGAAGCGCCCAGCGCCGTCGCTGTGCAATTACTACTATTATTCCTTCTTCTTTGTCGCCACGCGAGAGCGATGCAGCGCAAGCCAATACGTTGATGCGCGCTGTCAGGTCGCGTCGTGGGAAGGGTCCGGGTGGATGGTGATAATTTGCGGTCCTTGATGTGCTTTTGGCGGGTCAAGCCTGGCTGCTTCGGGGACATTTTGTTGACTTAAGGCAGCTGAGCATGTTCGCTTCTATTTTTGGACCTGTCCGAACCACATCGCTCTCCCACCACCCACATGGCCCCATGTCGCCGCTGCTGCAGCATCATCACGCCCGACTGCGCGCTGCTGTCTTGTGACTGGCTGTCCCTCCACGCTCCACCGTTGACTTGCGACGCTGCTACCTGGCCTGGCCACGTTACTACGCCCTCATAGGACTCTTTGCACCGCTACACAATACCGCAACGCGGCCGACGAAACATTACGTCTTGGCCCCACTACTACCCAGATCCACAAGGGCGTCCGAGAATAACAGTCCGCTCCAAACTGTCCTCCATGTTGCAACAAAGCCGCGAAAACACTGTCGCAGCAGGGCGTCCGCATTGTCAGCATTCCGGATAACTGTCCAAATCAAGGCCACATGTCTCAGTATCCGCAACACGGCTGGCCTGATGCAAATCTGCCTGATCCACACGCTAATCCACAATCCAAAACACTACAGCAAAGTGGAGAGATGTCCATGTATGTTTGATTTCAGCCTTATTAATTTCGTGGGGTTTTGTGCGGCCCGCATTGCTTGACTTGCCGTCATCGCCAAACGTCCTTGATTGTTTCAAATGCAGTAAGCATCATCTTACCCCTCAACTCCACCTGTCATCTGAACACTTCAATATATCTCAAATCTGTTCCATTTGAAAAGTTTGGTATATATAGTCATGGCAAATTTCCGTTGGTCACTATATCTGTCGCACGCACCCGTCAGACGATTATAGCAAGTGTCAGGTCATGTCTAGGAGCCCATCTGCCGGTTATGACCTCCGGTTTACAAGACAGGACGTACAAAGAGCCCTGTAGAATATTAAGGTTTGCAACAAGTGCATGAGCAGTCTAACAAGCAGCAATTTATCCTTGTTATATCCACCCGTCGTTCCCAAGCCATATCGGCTGTCAGGCTTGGTCATTGCAGGGTCTTCCAATGAAACAGACATTGGATAAGCAGCCTTGGATTGGGGTTCAATATCATCTGCTTTATCCTGTTGATTTTCACAGGGATGGTTGCTGGGAATCTGCTGTGAGACATCGTAGTGTGGGGTTAGGTTCGGATTGGAGGGTGTTTATGCCAAACACAATGATGTCGACATACTCGCCCTTTACCCGGACACTACACGGTAAGTTAGTATATCAATGTGTGGAGTCATTACCTAACTCATCTTCCTCTTTTCTTCCCCCGCTATGAGGGTGTTTTGTGCTCAACTCCACGCGGGATCATATTTCATTTTGAGTGCTCCTGTTCAAGAAAACCACTTGGCGTGTGCAAGAGCTGGAGGAATGGTAGAATAGCAATGCCCCGGGCTGCTTTTTCTTATATTAAGACTTATATTCACCAAGGCTGTGTGTTATTAATGAAATCCAGTGTTTGGATAAAAGTGCACGCATCGCTCTTGAATCGTACAAGCATAGCACGGGCTATACTATCCCCACTTTCATTGATGTGTTTATGTAAGTCTACAATAGTCCTAGTACTTTGCAACTATTACAGGTGTGAGATATAAGACGGACATTATCAGGGTCTTAACAAGAACAACCACTCCTGGTCATTAGCGTGGTCCAGTAGGAGCATTATCAATCATCGAATTCATGGTCGAAGCTAAATCTGTAGATCGCTCACACGTGCTCAGACACAAGAGACTGCTAAGAACGATAGAAAAGATGTGAAATGTCCTACACTCTTTTCCTTTCAATAACCTAGAAAGCATTTGTGTGATCATTTTCCACTCTTTGAACGTCCTTAAGGGTATGGAAATGGAAGAGTGCTATTGATATCGAAAAGGATTAGTAAACACTGCAGTGAATAGTGCATGTGCATGATACTATCAAGACTAAGAAAGCATAATCACATTGTATGTCAATTCATTGTGTTACTATGGTCAGGGAAAAGAAGGGGGATAGCTTGTGGTTGGAGGTAATCAGATACACATAATCAACATGGCTTTGTCAGATGTGGTAACGAGCCCAAGTACTGTTTAATCAGATCCAAGACAACAGTTCTTTACTCGTTTTAAATACAAGAGTAATTTAACCACATTCAATGCAAGCTCTCCCATGTCTCACAGGCGACATGCTACTGTCAGCCAAAAACAAATCCACGTAGGAAGATACGCTAAAATCAGTGCACAATATACCTTCGTATAAAATAGTCCACCTCTATCCCACCACAACATCAACCTTCACAACTCCACCCCTACCACCCCTCCCCGCGGCGTCTCTCACCTCGGACTACTCACCCAGCCACTCACAATTCCACCGCTCAAAAAAACCCGATCATCAAAACCCAAAAAGAGACCCTGCTCATCACATCCCCCTATAACCCAACCCCTCTCTCCTCCCAAGCAAACCACAAAAGTAAAGCTAAGCCACTAAACCCCTCTAAGAAGTAGATCTTACATACACAAAAGCGCCCGCGACCTCCCTTTTCCTTGCACCTCACCCTACACCACATCCGTCGACCACTCACCCCGCACTTATCCCATTCGGTCGCCAGAGCCACGAGGCCCCCGAAAAGGGGAATCGGTGGCCTTGCGTAATAGTGCCGAATGGGTGTGCAAACTGGGGGGATTACAGAAAAAAGGGGAATGTGCAAGATTGCACATGGTGTACCAGGATACAGGGCGGTCACGGACTTTGTCGATCAAGATGAGAGAGAGGAGGAGGGGTTGTGTTTGTGCACTGGGTTGCGCGCGAGTAAGGTGAGGGGGGGGTTTGGCAAGGGTGAGGAGATGTTGGCGGTTGATGGGATTGTGTATAGATGCTTCAAGTGTATATGTGTATTTGTGGAAGTTGTACAATGGATAACTTGGAGTATCAAATGCATCACTTTATCCCACATCCTCAAATAAGACCCTTCAAGGAGGAAAGGAAAAAAAGGTATCCGTGAACACTTCAACGCTCAAGTCCAAAAAAAAGCCACAATCAAGCATTACCCCCACCGGCCCGACTCATCACCAATCCCGCTTACTCTCTCCATCGAAAGACCCCAGATCCCAGGTTCAGAAGTTGAACAAATTGTCAGCAAACAAGCAAACCAGAACCCTCGGCATGTTTCCTCGCCATATACGGACGTACTTTCGACAATCCGAAGAAAGAAAAAAAAATCTCCATCTAAAATAACTTCCCAATCTTCGACGCCACGTTGCTGAATTACCTGATTCATCTCTCCCATCTTTTTCATCCCCTCTCCTGCATCTCCGATCCCCATATTCAACGTACCCAAAAAAAAATCAAATCCATTGTTAGTTTGTATACACTCTTCTCCCCTCACCATCCACATCTCTCATCCCTACCCAGTCCTCCGCACCCTACACCCATCTGACTAATCTCCCCTTCTTACGTCCGTACCACTTCTCTCTCTCTCTCTCTCTTTCTTCCCTGATCCTTGTATACCTACCCACCCTAGTCTGTCAAAAAACCCCACTTGTACACACACACACGCGCGCGTGTGCGTGTGCGCAACGGTCGAAGAGAGAAAAAAAAAACAGACGCACGGGTCTCCCCCCCCGGTGTTTCACCACCAAGGACGCTCGGTCAGGGGGGTGATCGATGCGGGTGATTGCGGTTATGAAACAAGGTTAGTTAGTAGAGGGAGCAAATCGTGTATCGTGATTTACGCATCTATCGTGTAAGGTGTTCTACATAGTGTTGTGGAGAAAAAAAAAAGTGGCAAGGGAAAAGGGAAGATGCTTGATGTTGACATTGGGGAAGTAGGCGCGAGGTAGGTCACGTGAGTCATGTTGGACGATAGAAAAAGAAAAAAAAGGAAAGCAAAGCAGGTGATTGGTGCGAAAACCCAGCCCCCTCCCTCCATCCACTCCCACATCCTCACATGCTACTATGTGCAAAACTATCGTGGGAACCGCGGGTATCGTACCATTCTACATGCATCTTTCACATGCTTCCCGCGCGCAAACGAAAAAGAAAACGGTAGAGATGTAAGCACGGGATTGATGTTACTGCATATGACGTGATTTTGCCTCTCTCTCTCTCTCTCTCTTTAACTTTCATTTAAACACCGGTGGGATGAAACATTCAATGAACCCATCGGCCAGACGGAAGTGTGAAAGTGCGTATATCTAACTACATTCACAAACGATTGCGAAAGAACAGATAAGCGGGATGAGTGAGGTTGGTAAGAAGTAGATTGATGTGATCGAAACTAGTTGTTTCTCTCTTTGCTAGTTGTTTGTGGATTTTTAATCTATCTGCGGGAGAGTGTAGATCAAGAATACGAGCAAGGAAAACGGGAATTCCGATGAATTGTTTCAACGCAAGAAGATAGTAGGCAAGACAAACCCTAGTAATGACATCACCATCAAATACAGTAACAGAAGACAAGACAATTGAACAATGCACACGGATTTCCCATTTTTCTTCGGTAGCTTTAAGTTAGAACCCTTTAGGAGTCTGGATATAGTAGTAGATCAGAAAAGACTCGGTCTTGTCTTTTGCGGAAGAAAAAACCATAGACACTCTTTCTTTGCCATCGTCTTTCTCCACCTCCACTTTGAATTAACCACCTCGAATTTTTCTCCTTCGCATTCGCCTCCATTTCCTCCACCGCCTGCCATTGCCGAAAAACAAGGTATCACATTCCCAACAAAACCCAATGACCGTAGTAAATGCAAGCGAGAAAAAAGGTGTGAAAATGAATAAAAAGGCGGAAACCGGAAGTCCCGCCAGCCGACTCTTCGAAAAGAGGGGCTAGAAGAAAAAAAGAGGGTGTGAAGAGAGGAGTTGTTCGTGTCATGAGACATGTCGTGTTTCAAGACGAGGGATGTCCCGCTTCAGCCACGAACAAACAAAAGTCGGGCCCCCTTTGCTTTGTCTCCGCCTCTCTCGTTCAGAATAACTCGTGGAAACCATAACTCGAAAAGGAAAACAAAAAGGATATTTGGAGACCAAATCGGGTAACCCAGGATTATTTCAAGGAAATCTGGACATGGGAAATAAATAAAAGGTTGCGTGTGGAGTGGCGTGGGGGGGTATAACCATGCGTTGCCCATGGACGGCGAGAAGCTGTCACTAAACGTAGGAAAAAAATTGGTGGCGCAGATTCTCCCCAAGTAATAAATGCCGAGTCGAAAGGGTAATAATGAACATCGCGCGAGGGCGTGTTGAAAATAGAACCAGGTATGATGATGAAGCGAGAGTGGTGCACTACGGACATGATGAACTCCGACATGCGCCATGGGTGTGATGGAAAATGACGATAAGAAAAGAGAAATTACAGTAGACAAAAGAACACTGACGATAGTGGCAAAAACATTACGAGTGGAATAGATCCCAGGCTCTTGCGCAAAGTCCAATGAATTCCTCCTTCTTTCTGAGCTGGGTCTCTGGCGAGTCTCGGCCGGCGCCGAATGGGCCCAGGCGAGGCTGTTGGCGGCCGAGCGGAGGGGTGCCGTTGTCTTGTTCATACTCGTCGCGGCCACGTCTCCGGGAGCTAGTGCTGCGCTGCGACTCTGGGCGGACATGGTGTGTTGATGAGGCGTTCTTATTGGGCATTGGCGATGGGGGCGTTGGGGGCTGGTGGCCACCGTAGTGGACCAATCGGGGGAGCAGATCTTCTCGGCCACCTGACATTTGCTGGACTGCCTCCTCAGCAGACTTGTACTCGCGGGGCCTTGATGTTGGCGGGGGTTGAGTGAACTGTGGGGGCGGGAAGCTGGGTGATTGCATCGGGGGCTGTACGTTGGAGTGCGAAGAGTGTCCAGGGCTTCCGTTGTAGTAGGCGTTGCGTGCGGTTCCAAGAGGCTCAGGGAAGACGTCCGAGATGGGAGGTAACCGGTTGCTGGTCTGCTGGGCTGGGACATGGTGAATATGCGAGGACTGTGAAAGGTTTGATGGCGCGTTGGCGTGCCTTGATGAGGGTGCGTTGCTGCGCAGGCCAGTGAAGGTTTGATTGAGGGGCGCCGACTGGATGACACGGTCATTGGCAAACGACTGGTGTGAAGGAGGCGCAATAGAGAGGGCTGGAGGAGGGCCCTTGCGGCGCGAGGTCTGAGGAGTCTTTATTGTGCGGCCAAAGGCACCAATCTCTGTGCCTGGACGGGGTTCGTCCGCCTCTGATGGGCCGCCTTTGCCGTGCTTCTGGCGGGCCTCGATAATCTGTCTCTGGCGCTCTCTTACATCGAGACTGCGTTGGAGCTGCTCACGCATGGTGGGGTCCTGAGTGTGGAAGCCAGGTGACAGGCAGGCAAGGCCTACATCGAGCAGGTTTGCAGAGGGCTGACCAGAGGGACGAGCTGTAAGGGCACCGGACGAGTGGACAATGTTGTGGTTGGAGAGGTTGAGACGCTGGGGTCGGTGTCGGGTGGTGGTGGGCATGTCTGGCGAGGAAGGCTCCTTCTTGACGACTATCTTGGGGGCCGGGCCGCGGGATCTGCGCGACGAGGGACGGTTAGACATGAGTGACATGATGTCTCTGTGCGGAGGGGACATTGAGGTGGAGGTGGGTGACGAGGCCGACATTGGACGGCACGAGGGAGAGTGAGAGGCA